CCCCAAAACCCCAAAACCCCAAGTAGAATAAAATTGATCAATACTTAAATTTAAATCATTTATAACTAAATAAAATGAGTGAACAAGATAGACTTGCCTTCAGATAAAACAAAGATTTTAGTTTGACTATGGATTTGAATAAACCACCACCTGAAATATTAGATGGAGCAAATATATTATAGACTATTGAAAAAATTGAAAAGGAATCTGCAGTCGAAGCTGCAACCAGATTTGCTGCTTTAGCTGAATAATAAGAAACATAGAAGAATTATAAACAAGCAGAAGAATCTAATCATAAAGCTAGTCTTTACTATCTTGAAGCTATGGCCATGATGAAATAACAGCCATAATTTGATAGTGAAGCTTTGAAAACTCTCGAGATTCTATCTGAGACTCATAGAAGAAAGGGAAAGCTATTGGCAATGAGAAAGGATTGGGGTGTTGCTTCTGTCAGAAATAAAGTAAATTAGATGATCAAAAATTAAGAGCAACTTAAAAAAGCTACAAATAATTAATTCTTGAATAGTGGTGCTACCAGTGTACTTCTTGAAAAAGAAAAACTGGCTATTATTGAGAGAGAGCGTTATATGTCTAAGATGAAGGAGCAAATGATTATTTTGTATCATGGAATGTTTATTGATGCAAAAAAGCAACTGGAAAATTTGGTTGAGTATCAGAAAACAAAGCTTCAAAAATTTGAATCAAGGCTTAATGAAATTCTAAATACTTTTAAGAAGGGATTCAATGATTAGACAAAAGAGTTAATTTTATCACATGGAGAGAAATTCATCAGTGTAAATACTAATCCATTCGCTAAGGAAGCACTTAGAGAATCTATAAACATAACTAAAATAGAGAAAAACAATCAAAATATGGAGAAAGTACTGCAAGCACTTAATTAGTATACAATTCTAATAGGTGATAAACTTGGTAAAGTAGTCTAAAAATTCGATGAAATGAGCAATAAAGAAAAAAGTCTATCACTTACATATGGCTAATTGACTGCTGTTGCTATAACACCGATTGGACAATAAGTTGGTTTTAATTAGATTATTGACCAAAGTGATAGAGAGTTGCTTGAGACTATGCAAAGATAAGCTGTGAATTAAGACTTGCAAGAAAGCATTATTGGAAATGAAAACAGAACATTCTAGAGGTCTCACTCTATGGGATATAAAGGAGTTCAGGAAGTATAACATATAAAGCCAATGCCAGTATTACCTGGACAACCTTAGTTCAATGAAAACTAGTATCAGGATGTGATCAGAAAAATGGAATAATCAATTAAATAACTTGAATAGAATAATAAAGATCTTGAGAGGAAATATAAAAAGTATTATGGCTATACAAAAAATCATCTAAATGAAATGAAAAGTTCAGCACTTCCCAAGAAGGAGACTAAGTGAAAATATGCTATCATATATAAGAGATTCTATTTTCTTTTAATTTCTTGAGATAATATTTCAGTATATATTCTGCATCTCGGGGTTTTGGGGTTTTGGGGTTTTGGGG